TCATTGAACCAGAACATGATTCGTTACTAAAACATATACATAATTGACTTCTAAAACATAATTAGATATAAAAATATTGGGAAAAAAATTCCATTATCTATCCTATGTTATAGCTCTGTTCCTTAGCTTTCCAACGCTTCGAACGGGGGTCAAAACGGACTTACGGATCCAAAGTTACGTCCAAAACAATTTCGACCGAAAACATGAACAGTCGTGACGGACAGAAAGACGCTGTTACGCTCCGGAACTGATTTTCGCTCAATTATTCTTGCGAGTTACTTACTCAAAGCACCCAAAACATCACTAAAACATTCCTAAGGTTATACGGCAATAACTGCACAACTTTTATGGTTTATTAGGCTCATCTAGCAACATTTGCAACACATAAAACACTATTTCCTGCAATTACTCTGAGTACTTCAGAGTTACTCACATTTGAATCTTCTTATTCCTATAAGGACAACATATCACAATTTTTCCTTCAATTACACCCTACGACACTTAAGTTACTTACTATCTAATATTTAACCCTTCAGAGTCAGACATATAACAATGTCAAGGTTCTGGCCACGAAAGTCCAATTTCCCATAAGTTTTTCCTATATTAATATTCAACGATACATATCATTTGGCCATTTGGTCATAACCTCAGATTCCTACGGTTACCTCCCTATTTCCCACAATTAACCCAAATCCCTAAACCTTAGGGAAACCTTAGAGCATCGTACTAATAATGATATAACACATTCATTTCTACATATTTTCCCAAATCCTTAAATGTTCAGATTTCCAGATCTACTACTCACTAGTATTCTATGACAGCATCAAGGATTTCTCACACGAATTTCGTATTAATTCTGGTTTCGGATACACAAAACATCATACAAACAGTATTCAACAATAACAGAAAATTTGAGAACAAATCAAGTTATGAAAATTGGATTCAAGGATCCTCAAGAACACATAATTCCTATGAGAGAAAGGACCTCTCACTACCCTCTCATGTTAATTCACCCATATTGAAATCCATTCTCCCCCTTACCTCGATTAATTGCTCAATCGTTGAAGAATCTTGAAGGATTGACAGCCCTAGTCTCCTTCTCTTCCTCCTTGTTCTTCTTCTCACTTTTTCTCCCAAAACCTTTCTCTGGCAGTTTATCGTGTTCTAATTCTCTTTCCCCAGAAAAACTTCTCTATTTCCTTTAATCCCTTATTTCTTATTTTATTATTTAAATCCTATAATAATAATAATAATAATAATAATAATAATAATAATAATATTATTCTCCCACTAATAATAATATTCATACTAATAGTAATAATATGAATAATAATAATATTCCACCAAATAATATTATTAATACGAATAATAATAATAATAATAATAATAATAATAATAATAATAATAATAATAATAATATTAATAATAATAATAATAATGATGATAATCTCATTAACATTATTATTAATAATAGTTGGAATAATATTAATCACTATAATGCTCTCGATATCATAATTAACTTATTCCTTTATCTAGGTCCACAGTACCCCAACTAAGGTCACCTCTCTCCCTTACTTCTAACCTCATACCCTTAATTAAGGATAACACACAACTACACATCACAAAAAAAAAACGAAGCGACTGAATAATTTAAATGGGGGTGTTACACTAGTGGAAGAGCGTATTTATAATGAGCCCCCGGCGCAGGGCCAACAGTTACTCTGTGTTGAGCTGGGCCGCCAGGACCAACGTAGGTAACTGATAGGACTGATGTGGTGTCGTGAAGACCAGCACGTGGTCTTCACCCTAGTGTAATTGTTTCGTGCTATCTGGGAGGTGGAGGACCGACTCATCAGGACACGTGTAGTTACTTGATGACGTGTCTCCGCGTAGGGGACACATAGAGAACGTGGGGGAGGTCTGAGGAACTCCCTGGGCAGGCTGGGCTCTGCCCGACCACGGGGGAAAAGGAGGCTAGCCGGACAGCTATGAAGGTCCTGTCCGACGGCTGTTGGCCTGTGTCCGACAGGAGAAGATGCTGTGCCCGACGGATCTTCTAACCGTCTGTGAGGTCTTATTGGGCCCAAATCCAGTGGGGTTTGGGGCCTGCTCGATTGTGCGCTAAGCGTCGGCCCAGTCCAGAACAGATTTTATCGTAACTCTTCTCCCTCCCCTTCCTTTTGAAAACCCCTTATTCAAGGGAATGAAAAAATGCTTCAAGAGAGATTCTGATTACCTCCAATCCCTTCCCCGCCCCTCATAAAAAATTGAACCAAACGTACCTATTTTAAAATATTCCCTCCTCTCCCCTCCCCTCCCCTCCCCTCCAAAAACCCTCAACCAAACATATAAGATTGAGATAGATCTTTTGAGTTAGGTCATGCATGCCTTTAAACTTCTTCAACCAGGTCAGGTTTACACCCATAACTGCAAATAATAATGTACACATCAACAATCTCACATGTGCAAAGTGGACGAAACACACTAGTGAACCTCCAATCAACAAATATGACGATTTTAGCAATGGGATCAGCTGGAAGAACCATATTGATTTAGTTCTTGCAATTGTGCAAAATCGACCAACATTTTCGAAACAAAGTGTCATACCCCAAATTTTACCCTTAGATTCTTTGATCTTTTGCATATCATTTTAGGCCAATCATATTGCATAACTAACCAAATTATCAGACTTTGTTTTTTCTTTGTTTCACTTGTGGAGTTAGGGTTTGCTTCAAGAGACTTCAGGAAAGCGGGTTCTCCTACTCTCAAGAGACCTCCATTCCTCAATAACCCAGCATAATATGGTTTAATCACAAGTTCTTCGAGGCTCATGCAAGGTTATCAGGTCAAGGATGTGTGCAGTGTGATTTGAAATTCAGTGGAAGTTTGACCTAATCTTGGCCAAACAAGTGGTTTGTTTTAGTATCGAGTTATCAGGTTGTGGCAAAGACCACTGTTTCAGGGTGGGTAATCATCAGAGCCATTTCACTTTCAATTAGGGTTCGGTGCAGTGGAAGTACAAATCAGGTCTCAAGTCATCTGTTGTGGCTAAATTCATGGGCTTGGTATTTGAGAATCCAAATCATAGTTCTGTTCAAGTTCAAGTTATCTGAGGAAGACAAGTTGTAAAATATTCAAATCTGGTGTATTTGGCCTTAAATTTCAAGTCGTTGTAAACCTTGGTTATATGGTTCATGTCATTAATCCAAGGAGAATTCAAGCAGGCCATTTATTCAAGAGGATTTCAAGTTTGGTCCACTTTCCGTTGTATCTCACGTATTTTGCTCAAAAACAGTTAAAATTCAAGCATTAAGTTACTGTTAGTCAGATTCAAGATTTGTTTCAAAGTCACTGATAAAATTTAAGGATGAATTCAAGGTGCAAACTTGATTTATGCTTGACATGGGTGAGATGTGTTTTTGAGTGTGATTCCTGAATTCCATCCAAGTGTGATTTTGATTTGAAAGATTCAATAACCATGACATTTTCAAGTTCATTTTAAAGTTTCAAATTCATTTTCTCAATTTCAAGTCCATCACATAAAGAGTCATACAAAACAAAATAACCATTGCCATTTTTCTTTTAAGTCAATTTCCTTTTCTTACAACCAAAAAGCCCATTTACATTAAAACTACTACAAACAAAATAAAAACCTTATACATATGTTACAAAAAAGGAAGTCATTTGACCCCATACAAGATAAAAGTTGCTATACTACATGCCAATTCTTGCACCAATTTGTGCTCCCCGCGCTGAACCTGTTTCACATAAGACAAAAACAAACATCAAAACCTTACACCAAACAAAACAACACACGCATCACTACGTTCAAAAAAACAATTGCTACAATCTTGCTACAACATCAACCCTGCACATCTTAACCACACACGAAAACAAAACTTGCACCAATATCATCTATGCTGCCACCACGCAAGGTGTGCGCAACACACTAAAATGCACCCTGCTCCTTCTGCAACAAACCTAGCCTTAAGTTAGAGTTTGTTAACCCTATGTGAGTACTATTGTTATAAGTACTTAACTCTCCTCCTTTGCCTTGTTAGAGCCAATTGATCTTACAACTTAGAATTAGGTATAAAGTTTGTAAACTCTATGCGAGTATCATTGTTATGAGTACTCACTTTCCCTTTTGACTTTTGTTAAAGTCGACCCTAGTTAGTCTTTCAACTTAAACTTAGAGAGTTTGTTAACTCTATGTAAGTATCATAGTTATGAATACTTACTTCCCTTTCTAACTTTGACCATAGTCAAGAGTTTCTCATCCCTAGTTAGGTGAACTACGAATGCTCAGATTCCATCCTAGTTAGGATACGTAGGCACGAGATGTGATATCTTGACGAGTATACTTAGAAATAAACCCATAGGTCTTCTTTACCTTAGCATTTTCCTTAACAATCAAACTATAACTTAACACAAATACTAACAAGAGGTTCTTGTATATTACTACATATACTTAGGACATTAACACCTTTTCTAGGTATAACCAATTCCCGAATTTTAGATTTTCAAACTTTGTTATTACATAGCGCACTTAAGGTTTTTCTTCGATCTTTACCTTTTCCTTTGGATAAATCAAAGTTCGATGGTGAATTTCATGATTTGTGATTCAACTTAATTCAATATCTTAATATACAATTCTCACCGCAACACAAAGCAACGATCTTAATAGATTGTCATCAAAAGCAAGTTGATTCTTGTCTTCTAAGGTTTTGGTGACAATGTGAGTGTGACTTCATTCAACAAAATGTGGATTTCAACTGTTTGATCTTAGGTCAAAGACATACACAGTAAGTTCAATCTTCTTGGTTGCTAGATGGCATATTCATTTTCGCCAATAATGTGTGTATTTCATAAACCATAACATATTCAAACCACTTTTATTTAGCGTATTTAATTACACACATTATAGCTTGCATATTTTAAGACCTTAAAAGAATAAAATGTGTTTCATGTAACTGTATGAACATACAATGATTACTTAATCATATTTTTTCTTCCACTACAGACAGGGAAGAGATTGCGGTCATGGAATAGGTGTCAGTGTTTGTCACTTTTGAAGTTGTTTCCCCCTCAAAGCTGTCTCTTCTAACGTAAAATGCTGGTTTTCTTGGTAAGGTAACAAGTTCATATTTGTTTGTTAACATAGATATAACATCAGACATTGTAGGTCTATCATTTGCATTTTGTTCTACACATAACAGACCAACATGAATGCACCTTTTCACTTCATCACCGACAAATGAGTCATTCAATAATGGATCTATTAACTCTAGGTAATCACCATCATTCCATAGCTCCCATGCCTGTTGTAGTAATTTAGTCAAATTAACAACAAGGAATAAAAATATTTAAAAAATAAACTAATAAAAAGACTGATTTGAATTGACATACATGTCCTACTAGATTTAGTGGGCGAATCAATATCATAGAAACTATTATTTTTCCTTCCGCAAACAATTTCAAGTAGCAACACTCCAAAGCTATAAATATCCGACTTGGTTGAACAAATTCCTTCCATTGCATATTCTGGAGACATGTATCCACTACATAGAAAATTGTATAATAATCTCAAAAATATTTTGTTTATGTAATCATCGATAAAATATTAGAAACAGACAAAGTAGAAACTCACTATGTCCCAACAATCCTGTTGGTATTTACTATAGATTCTTGTTGTGTAAACATTCTTGCCATACCAAAATCAGAAATCTTTGGGTTCATATTTTCATCAAGAAGTATGTTGCTAGCTTTCAAGTCTCTATGAATGATTTTAAGTCTTGAGTATTTATGAAGATAGAGTAATCCTTGAGAAATACCTTCTATAATGTTCAAGCGTTTCTTCCAATCTAGTAACTTCCTTTTTGTTGAATCTTCCAAGTGGAAACATAATATCTCATGTTAGAATTATATAACAATACACAAAAGTAGCAAATGAAAATGGATATTTTTGTCAACAATTACTAAATATTTTAGTTAAGAAACTATAACATAGACTCCAATCCATCATATTACTCACCAAATAGATAGAAATCCAAGCTTTTGTTTGGCATATATTCATAAATTAGAATCCTTTCTTCTTCATGAATGCAACAACCAATAAGTTGTACAAGATTTGTATGCTGAAGCTCACTAATCAGTACCAATTCATTTTTGAATTCCACAATTCCTTGTCCCGAATTTTTTGAAAGTCTTTTTACAGCAATTTCTTGTCCTGTTGGTAAGATTCCCTGAAATGATAAAACAAAAACCAACAATCATCTAAAACAACATTTTAATCTGGATTCAATGTGAATGTTTCAAAGATCTCCGTAATCATATTATTATTGACATTTGTTTGTAGCATGAAGATGATGTCATAACTGTAGCAACCGAGGCGTTGCCTTAAGTTCACAAACAAACTTAATTATTAATGTATAATTTCATTGTTTTAAGTCACCTTATAAACAGGTCCATAGCCTCCTTGTCCTAACTTGTTTTCAGAAGAAAAGTCCATGGTTGCTTCAGAAATTGATGCATAGTTAAAAATGTTTATATCATGTCCCTTAAAGTCATCTTCAAGATCTTTGATACTATACGATTCATTAGATGCTACCAAATCTTGCATTTTAGTTTTCTTCTCTGCATATCCATGAAAAATAAAGAAAGATAAAGAGAGAAAATAAATGGATTTAAAAATTATGCAGTAAACTATTTTGTAAGAACATACCTTTAGACTCATACTTTTTTCTCTTTATTCCTAGGCATAAAATGAATGGGCATATTATGAATAAGATAGCTGCTGTTATTGCACTTATCCATATCCACTTTTTTTTACCTGCATTGACTATTTACATAATATATTTGAATATTAACAGTTGTCATATACAATGTGATTCTCAAGTTATGCATTTGACTTACCATGGTGTGCTACCTTTGTTGGCTTTACCAAGGCATGAAAGTTAATTTCACTGCCAAAACCAAGATCTTTGGTGAAATTCCCTGAATAGAATATACATCCAGTCCCATTATTATAATATTTTGTGAATGCAGTGCAATTACAGTTTCTCCAACAACTTTCCTTGCAGTCATTATAAACATAAAGTGCACTATCCTCATAGGTTGCATTGTTTAAACTTGCAATAGCACTCTTCTTTTCAAACACATAGCCAGGTTCCCTACAAGTTGGTATATTCTCCCACTTTTGGCATCCCCCATCACTATTATATCCGTAGCACATATCTGCATTTCCAATATCTCCTACATTATTAATTAACCTTCCCGCCGGAAATAGTACCCATTCTGGAAACCTGGTATAATTCCTATCTTTAGTTTCGAAAGCAAAAGAGTCTTCGTCCGTATTAGAGACAATAATGTATCGATACATTTGTTGAACATTTGTCGGAATGTTCTCAAACAATCCATCACTTCTAAGCTTTCCGCTTTTCCAATACACTTTGCCGCGTTTTTTAATGTTCAATTCACCTTCTATTGGTTCCCATACAAGACTAAATTCACCCGAAGCCCATACTGAACGAGTTATCGGAGAAACTAGTGACCAATTATGTCCTGTTTTTCGGTTAATGCCTAATTTCATATTTGGAATCAAAGTGTTTATGGGATAATCAAAAGTCTGCCACAACAAAGTCTTTGTTCCATTTGGGTGAAGTTGTTCAAGTACAAAGTTACCTGTGTCTAACATAGTAGCCACAGTGTTGTTAATTGGTTGTGGTGAAGAGTAAATGATCATTGGTTTCCCAATTTTTGATTCAATTTTGAGCACTCCAGAGTGGCTTAGTGATAGAACTGATGAATCTGAATATATTGGATGATTTCTATCATACAGCCACACTAGATTATTTTGTACATTAGCGCTAGAAAGTATACACAATTGTGTGTTCTCGTAGGAACCAAGAACATAAGTAAAAGTAAGAAGATACTTGCCTTGTTTAGAATATAAAGGGGATGAGATATTCAAAGTATCACCAGGCTTCAAATGATCAACTTGTGCATTAGCATGCTTACTCCACCGCAACCATAATAAGTATATGATCATGAACACAACTAGTTTTTCTATTTTATAGATAATCATGACGGTTGTTGCACAATGGATGAATCCTCTCACACGTTACAAAATGCACTGCACTGCACTCCTCATCTTTAAACTCCAACTTTTTGGATAAGGTAGTAACTAATTGGCTCTCATCAGATTTCATTTTCCACACAATCAGATAAACCAATGTTATCTTTATTTTCCACTACAAAATGTTCCACAACAGTACTTTTCTCTCACTTTTTCTAAAAAAAAGAAAAGTATCAGTTTACTTTAACATAATTAGTGAAGTAGCAAAAGACGTGTGGGATTTAGGTAAAGAATTTGGATTGGTTCACAAGAGAGAGGAGGGAGAAATAATTCAAGAATTAAAAGGGAGGTGAACAGGAAGGAGGCGTAAAAGGGATAGAAGGGAAGATATTAGGAGGAAGGTGGTCAAAAAAATCCAATTATCAATGAAATTGTTATCATATAACGTTAAGGGCCTAGGGGGATTGGCAAAAAACAAAAGGAGATAGAGAGATTGATTTTAAGGCATAGACCCTCCATGATTTGTATTCAAGAAACTAAGATGGCAAGTGGTGAAAGGAACTTATGCTCCAAGTTGTGGGGTTCGGAAGACTTCCACTATGTTTGAGAAGTAAAAAATTTGACAAATGTTAAAAAAATATTTATCACTAATTAATATAAACAACGCAAAATGAATGTGAGATGTTGGATCGAACTCTAATATAGTTGAAGTCTGTTCGCGAGTAATGCATGTTGTAGTCGAAGTCTGTTCTAACATGCATTAGTCAATATTGTTAGGGTTGTTAGCATGTTGAATTGGGTCTTGCTTGTAAGCCCAATTGTTTAAGTTAGCTTGTACCCTAAGTTAGCTTGTAATGGGTAATTGTTAAAAAGCTCATTAGGTTAGTGTGTTATTTTATTATAAATAGGATGTTAGTTTCTCAATCTTTTAATAAGGAAAAATAGGAAGATAAAATCTTAATTTCAAGGGAGAGAGGTTATTTTGTTATTCTTGTATACTTGTAATCTTGTTTTAAGAGAAAGAAAAGAATAACAGTTTAATAACCAATCCTTGTTGTTCCTTGTTGGTTTACCTTATTTTCTTTGTTAACCCTAACCCTTGTGAGTTTCTTGATCATTAAGAAACCGTTTATACTTTGTTTAAAGGTATCTGATTCACAACAAATTGGTGCGGTGAGCGTGGAGAAGATGCCTTCAACAAAGTATGAGATTGAAAAGTTCACCGGAGTGAACGACTTCGGTCTGTGGCGCTTGAAGATGAAAACCCTATTGGTTCAACAGGGTTGTTTGGAAGCGTTGAAGGGTGAGGCAGCCATGGACGCTGCGTTAACGGAAAAAGAAAAGACAGGCATGATCGAGAAAGCCCACAGCGCAATATTGTTGAGTCTTGGTGATAAGGTTCTTCGACAGGTATCAAAGGAGACTACAACATCGGGATTATGGGTGAAACTTGAAAGTTTGTACATGACCAAATTCCTGGTGAATCGACTCTACCTGAAGCAAGCTTTATATTCATTCAAGATGAGTGAAGATAAAGTGTTGGCTGAGCAGTTGGATATGTTCAACAAGCTGATTCTTGATCTTGAAAATATTGATGTGAAGATCAATGATGAAGATCAAGCACTGTTGCTGCTGTGTGCTTTGCCCAGAACACATGCTCACTTCAAAGAAACTCTCTTATATGGAAGGGAGTCCTTGACCTTTGAAGAAGTTCAATCAGCCTTGTATTCTAAGGACTTGAACGAACGAAAGGAGCATAAACCTTCGCCGACAGTAAGCGAAGGTTTGGCCGTTAAGGAAAAATTCTTGCGAAAGGATGGTAAGTTCGACAAGAAGAAAGGTAAAAGTCAACAGAAGTCTTATAGTGGCAAAAAATCTAGTATTCGATGCTATCACTATAAGAAGGAGAGTCACATAAGAAAGGTGTGCCCTGAACGCCTGAAAGATCATGGAGGTAATGGCAATGCAACCATTAATCAAGATGACTTCGACTCATCTGATGTTCTTGTGGTTTCATGTGGCGACTCGAGGAAAGAGTGGATTATGGATTCAGGTTGCACTTGGCACATGACTCCAAACAGAGATTTGTACGAGGAGCTATGTGATCAAGATGGTGGATCTGTGCTGCTGGGAAACAACAAATCTTGCAAAATTGCAGGTATTGGATCTGTGAGATTCAAGCTCCATGATGAGTCAATAAGGTTATTGACTGAAGTCAGGTACGTACCTGACTTGAAGAGAAATTTGATTTCTCTTGGTGAATTCGACAGAAAAGGATACATTTTTCAAGGAGAGAAAAGTATCCTAAGAGTCATGAAGGGGTCGAAGGAAGTCTTGAGAGGTGTGAAGAAACAAGGCTTCTATACCCTTGAGGCTGAGGTTGTAAGTGGTTCGACAAATGTTGCATCCACGAAACTTATATCGAAGACAGAATTATGGCACATGAGATTGGGACATGTCAGCGAAAGAGGCCTGGTCGAATTAGGGAAGCTGAACCTACTAGGAGGTGACAAAGTCGAAAAGTTGGAATTTTGTGAATCTTGTGTATTTGGTAAATCTTGTAGGGCGAAGTTTAACAAAGGCAAACAAAGAACACATGGATCCCTGAATTACATTCATGCTGATCTTTGGGGGCCTGCAAGGAATCCTTCACACTCAGGTGCAAGGTATTTTCTATCTATCGTTGATGACTATTCCAGAAAGCTATGGGTATTCATTCAGAAGACGAAGGATGAAACTTTTGAGAATTTCAAAAGTTGGAAGATTCTGGTTGAAACTCAAACTGACAGAAAGGTTAAGAGGTTGAGAACCGACAATGGTCTTGAATTATGCAACGAAGCATTCAACAGTTACTGTGTTGAGTCTGGGATTGCAAGGCATAAGACTATAGCAGGTACTCCTCAACAAAATGGCTTAGCTGAGAGATTCAATCGAACAATCCTTGAAAGGGTCAGATGCATGTTGGTTAGTGCTGGATTGAAGAAGGTGTTTTGGGCGGAAGCTGTTTCGGCAGCAGCTTACCTGATAAATAAATGTCCCTCGACTGCCTTGGGAATGAAGACACCTGAAGAAGTTTGGTCGGGACATCCACCTAGTCTCGACAGACTGAGAGTATTTGGTTGTGTGGCCTATGCTCATATTAGACAAGACAAGGTCGAACCTAGAGCTCTGAAGTGCATGTTCATTGGATACCCTGAAGGAGTCAAAGCTTATAGGCTATGGTGCCTAGAGCCAGGTCACAGGAGGTGTATCACCAGTCGAGATTTAGTTTTCAATGAAGCAGATATGGCTTTCAAGAAAACTGATGATGCTGACGAAGAGTTGGAACAGGGAGAGATTCCTGTTGAGGTGGAGAATGTTGATGTTAAACTGCTTACCCCAGATGAAGTCGAAGAAGATGCAGAAGATGCTGTCGAAGATGAGGAGACTGATAATGACTACCTGCTAGCAAGAGACAGGTCGAGGAGAGTCATCAAGCCACCTCAGAAACTTGGGTATGCAGATCTTATAGTTTATGCCTTAATCTCTGCTAGTGAGGTTCTAGATGAAGAACTTAGAGACTATAAGGAAGTTATGAGGAGTCGAAAGAAGACTGAATGGCTGAAGGCCATGAATGATGAGATGAAATTTCTTCATGATAACAACACCTGGGAACTGATCAAGAAACCTGCTAGATCCAGGTTAGTCAGCTGCAAGTGGATTTTAAGGTACATAAATGAGTCTCTAAATAGAGTCCTAATTTATGGTGGAGCCTTGGGTGAAGATAGTAAAACAGCAATCGAAGGATATGTCGACTCTGATTATGCAGGTTGTATGGATTCTAGAAAATCTATCTCTGGATATGTGTTCACTATGTTTGGGACAACAATAAGTTGGAAAGCAACACTTCAAAAGGTCGTTGCTTTATCAACCACTGAAGCGGAGTATATTGCCCTAACTGAAGCTGTGAAGGAAGCATTGTGGCTTGAAGGTTTTGCCAAGGAGCTAAAACTTCAAGGTCGAATTATCACTGTTAAATGTGATAGTCAAAGTGCAATACACCTGTCAAAGAATTCAACCTATCATGAGCGAACCAAGCACATTGATGTGAGGCTGCATTTCATCAAAGGGGTAATCGAGCATGGAGAAGTCCAAGTGCTGAAGGTTTCGACAGATTATAATGCTGCTAATATGATCACCAAGACGCTGCTCAGTTGCAAGTTTTTCCACTATATGCAGTTAATAAAGCTGCATGAAGAAAGCTAGTTTCTTGATGTTATAGAGTTAGATCCAAGGTGGAGATTTGTGAGATGTTGGATCGAACTCTAATATAGTCGAAGTCTGTTCGCGAGTAATGCATGTTGTAGTCGAAGTCTGTTCTAACATGCATTAGTCAATATTGCTAGGGTTGTTAGCATGTTGAATTGGGCCTTGCTTGTAAGCCCAATTGTTTAAGTTAGCTTGTACCCTAAGTTAGCTTGTAATGGGTAATTGTTAAAAAGTCCATTAGGTTAGTGTGCTATTTTATTATAAATAGAAAGCTAGTTTCTCAAACTTTTAATAAGGAAAAATAGGAAGATAAAATCCTAATTTCAAGGGAGAGAGGTTATTTTGTTATTTTTGTATATTGTAATCTTGTTCTAAGAGAAAGGAAAGAATAACAGTTTAATAACCAATCCTTGTTGTTCCTTGTTGTTTTACCTTGTTTTCTTTGTTAACCCTAACCCTTGTGAGTTTGTTGATCATTAAGAAACCGTTTATACTTTGTTTAAAGGTATCCGATTCACAATAATGAATATTTGTCATAGAATAACGTAAAGAAACAAATCTGTAGGTCTATCTACAGATTTTGCTATAATTTTAATAAATAAAGCAGAAAAATCTGAAAAAAATAATTTACAAATTTTAGTTTTAAGACTAAAACGCACATAAAAAGTAAAATATAGACTAAAAAATTTACAGGATCAAAATCAAAAGTTTATTAATTTATAGGGATCAAAAGTGTATTTAAGTCATCAATAAAATATATT